TATCATTATTATTGTTATTGCTATTATCTTTATTTGTTCTTTTTCTTCTAATTATTGTTATTAGTATTATAGATTTATTAATGATAACAATAATAATGAGAAATAATAATAATGAATAATAATAACAAATAATGATAAATGAAAAATAATTAAAAGATAAATAATAGCAATAACAATAATAATGATCATTATTACTAACATTATTACTAATATTATTATTATGCTTATCCCTGAGATCATTCTTAGCTACAATCAATCAAATCTTACGGAGACATATTTGTTTACGCTATTTAGACTTAAAGAAATCTAATGTTAGCATTCTCAGTACCACTGCTCGCATGGAAAAAAAATTAATCTGGCAAAGGGAATATCAGTGCGTTTTCATTGTTCCAAAATGCATCTCAGAGTAATAATAAAAAATAATAGCTGTGTGTAAAGCAAATAAGCAAAAATACAATCATAAATGCCTAATTCTTAGGACTTTATTAGCAATAAACGAAAATAATAAACATAGTAGTAATGATCAAATAATGTTAATAATAATAATGATAATAATAATAATATTGACAATATATTAAATGATAGAAAGGATAAAATAAAGCTGAATTGAATTGAATTGAATTGAATTGAATTGAATTGAATTGAATTGAACTGAACTGAATTGAATTGAATGGAACTGAACTGAACTAAACTAAATGAACTGAACTGAACTGAACGAATTGAACAGAACTGAATTGAATTGAATTGAATTGAATTGAATTGAACTGAGTGAGATGAAATGAAATGAAATGAAAAAGCACAGAGATGTAACAGTTGCACTCAATGAACGATTACTACTACCAAAGTTGGAGTGGCGTGGAGAAGAAGGCGAAGCACTGCAAGCAATGAGAGTTGAATATTAACATTACAAAAAAGGGTATGAATGAAGCGAAAAAAAGAAGCGAAAGGAAGAAAAGGAGGCGAAATAATGAAGTTCTACTCCGCAATAGGCTTGTTTTTGTAGTTAGTTAGTTAATTACTTTGTTAGTCAGTTAGTTAGTTAGTTAGTTAGTTAGTTACTCAATGTCTGCTCTATTAAAGACGTACGATCACGTATGATCACGTGGAATTCAAACTCTTTGTTTATATGAAAATCGACTGCATGCTTATTAGCATTAAATTCTTTAACAGTGCATTCACATTTCTTTGCTTCTACTCTAGGCGAAAACACGTGACGCAACAAATTATGCTTCATTGTGGCATGTAGTGAACTTTGAGCAACTGTCTTATGAGACCAAAAACGTGAAAATTAAAAAGTGAGATAGCAGGAGTATTGCAGCAGAAGTGTAAAGTGAAAAGTATAAAAACAACAGGAACAGAAAAAATAACAGGTATGAAAAAGTCGGAAAACGTGATAATATTGTGCTTAATGACGGCAGTCAATGAATTTGTCAAGTGTGATTCCTAACCAAATGAGCAAGTATGAACGATCTAACTAGCTATACTTTTATGTGTGTGTATGCGTGTGCGTGTGTACACACACACACACACACACACACACACGCACATATGTATGTGTGTAAGCAGACAGTAATATTTGCATATTTATTAGGCATGTAAAAACGTTAGAGAATAGATTGCTAGCTAGTTGATCAGGGCAAAACGTATTAGTGATGGTCTCGGGATTGGCGCCAGTTAACCACTGAATTTCATCGTCGTTAAAAGAGTGGTTTGGTTGTATTTTAGAAATAATTTGCTTTATTGTCGGCTTTGTTTAACAAACACGTAATTTCACGTTGTGTTACTCGTGATATTGAAGCTAATGTCTTAGACAAAATAATAATCTTACGTTATAGTACTTCATACTGATTACATAAATAATTTTCGAGTGAATTAAGCATTTGTTGCCACGATAATGAATGCTATTAATTTTTCTGAGTGAATAAAGATTGAAAATGTAATATGGCTACGTTATAAGTTCGCAAAGATTAGACTAGTTTTTGGATTTAGAAATTTGTCAATTGCCGTTATCTTGCACTTTTAAAGAACTTTTAAGGTCACTTTTTCTACCGTTTATTTTAGTATTTTAATTTATACGTGCGTGTGTTTATACGTTTTGCCAACGAGAAGATCTTGAGAATGAAAAAATGTTATGAGAGCAATAGAAAAATTTTGTTTCACTTTTACTTTAACGTAACAAAATTTTGTAGTTTTTTCGATATAACAATTACGTAGGATGCTAAAAAGATATCAGTGATGAAGTAAATGGCACTCCAAAATGTTGCCATTTTGATTGAAATCAAGAAAATTTTAATGATTTCTAGTAATTTTGATAATTTTATTATCTTCAAATCTTAGCAAGTTCAAACTTTTTAATCTTATTAGAATTCGAGCAAACTTCATACCATCTTTATTGCGGTATTTATTTAAAATGCAAAATTATATGCTATTAACAGTAAGAGCTTTTTATAATTTGCTAGGTGACAGTGCCTTAAGTAATATTCATCACTTATTTAGCGCTTTACAGTAATTTCTGTAAAGCAGAATAAATTCAGTTTCGGTGTTGATCTAATCTTTTATTTCATTAAAGACAAAGTATTAGAAATATTCAAATACAACCATTCAGTTATTCAAATAATTTGTAGAATGCATGTGTCAAAAAAATAAAAAATAATTTTTTAAAATATTCAAAAGATAAAATGAAAAGAAAACAAAGTTTGTAAATAATTATAAATTTAATTCATAGCATTGCAAAATCATAAGTAGATATATCAAAACCTTAATATAAACACACTGCTAAATAGATCAGCAATTACTTTTCTTATTTTTAAAAATTCTTTTCTATGTCAAAGTTCAACTTAAAATGAAAAATATGATATTATGAACTAAATTTAAATATTTATATTTCTGGAAGAGGTCTAAAAGCATAACAAGTTAAGTCTTCAGTTGTAATTTGGCAAAAACTATCGGTATATGCTACATAAGAGAAGTCATTTTTAGAACAAATCACATTGAACTTCTTGAGAAGTTTGACCTCGGCTGCTCGTTGAATAGCACGTTTTGAGATAGTTGGATCATCTGTCATATTCTGAAACTTACAAAACCTTACATTAATCATCACAGTACTGAATCAATAAACAAATGTTAACTTTGTCTTAAATTTTTGAATTCAAAGCTTATTTGAAATTATTAGAAAATAAATTTTCAAAGTGTAGTATAACGAGTACTCATTTTATAATGATAAAAATTTCAAAGTTATAGCAATGACTTTAAAAGTTAGCTATGCTAAATCTTAACTGAAATTATTCTTGTGGTCACTTAAATTTACAACTTAATTGACTTCTATTCAAATTTTTTCAGTATTTAAAAAAAACAAATTCATGCATGAGTAAGTGTCAATTACTTTAATCCGAATTAATAATGCAGTACTTTTATAGACTTAGTAGGTTTGCTCAGATTTTACTTTTCTTGCTTAATTGCTTTTCATGTGCTGAGATGTTTAAAGAATAATAAATTGGCAGTACATGAGATTAGAATATTATAATTTGTCACAAAATACGTGAAAAATTAGTCTTTATGTAAAATAATAGTATTAAAGTTATGAATGATACTCAAAAAACTGCTTTTGAATATATTCAACTATTTATTTTCATTAAATTAATGATTTTTAATCGAAAATTTGAATATTTTACATGTTAAATGAAGGCTATTTACTCTACGAATAATTTTCAGTTTTCCATAATTTGAAAAATGAGTTTTTTTCGAAGAAAAAATCGAATTAAGCTTCAGTACTGCAAAGAATAAAGAGTATTTT